CGCTCGCTGGGCAGTGTAGCTGGGGCGCTGCTGCACGTGTAGCTGGGCTGCTGCAGGTGGACCCCTCCCGGCCAGAGCTCCAGGAACCGAGCTCCTCCGGTTCGGCCCCTCTTTCTGGGGGGAGAGGGCCCGAAGCAATGCAGATTTGAGCGGATTTCTGGCTGCCTCTCTGAATCACACACCTGTTCTTCCTACCTGGAATCGAAACGCCTTCTTCCTTCTCCGATCTGGCAGGGTTTCGTCTGCTTGCTAGGAAAAGGGCAAAGGCCGTTACTGTTTCACGTCTGGCATTACCACGGAAGGGACCACAGCAGCCATCAGCCTAACCCTTTATTATTGCATTTCCCTAATTCATTTATTCATTCGTCACTTATGTATTGAGGCTTCCTCCCTGTGCTAGGCCCTGTTCCGAGTTGCTGCCAGTACAATGTGAGGATCAAAGAGAATTCCTGATCTCAGGAAGTTAGATTTGGTGGAGAAAGAAAACGTTAAAGAAATAATCAGCCCACCAATCGGGAGAGCAGTGCCTGTGAGCGGTTCTGGACCTCAAGCTCTTCTCACAGAGGAAGGGACGGAACAGACAGCAGACACCATGGAGTCCCCTTCAGCGCCTGCTCACAGAGGGTGCATCCCCAGGCAGGGGCTCCTACTGGCCAGTCTCACTCTTAACCTTCTGGAGCCTGCCCACCACTGCCCAACTCACTGTTGAATCAGTGCCCATCCAATGCCGCTGAAGGGAAGGATGTGTTTCTTCTTGTCCACAATCTGCCTGGGAATCTAGCAAGCTATATCTGGTACATAGGAGAATGGATAGACAGCAGCCTTCTAATTGTATCCGATGTAATAGACACTCAAAAAATTACCCCCGGGCCTGCAAACAACAATCAAGAGACAATGTACCCCAATGGGTCCCTGCTGCTCCAGAAAGTCACCCTGAAGGACACAGGATACTACACCCTACATGCCCTAGAGAAAGATTTTTGGAGCAAACAAGTAACTGGACAGCTCCATGTATACCAGCCAGTGGGAAAGCCCTCCATCCAAGCCAGCAGTGCCACAGTCACAGCATAAGGACGCCGTGGTCTTGACCTGTCTCACAGATGACACTGGGATCTTCATCCGGTGGCTCTTCAAGAGCCAGAATCTCCTGCTCACGGACAGGATGAAGCTGTCCCAGGGCAATAGCATCCTCACCATAGACCCCGTCAGGAGGGAGGATGCTGGGGATTTCAGTGTGAGGTCTTCAACCCTATCAGTTCCAGCAAAAGTGACCCTCTCAGGCTGGACGTACAATATGATTCAACACGACAAAGTCCTGGCCTCTCAGATAAGGCTATTGCTGGCATCGTGATTGGAGTCCTGGCTGCTGTAGCTCTGATAGCAGCCCTCGTGTACTTTCTGTATGTCAGAAAGACTGGAGGGGCAAGTGATCTCACGTAACACAAACCCTCAGCCAGCCTCCAACCACAGTCGGGGCCACTCTGACAACTCACCTAACAAGAAATCTGAAGTTACATATTCTTTGCTGAACTTCACTGGCCAAGAATCAAAGAAATCAAAGTCAGCCTCCCATCCCCAATAGCCACAGAACCAGTTTATTCAGAAGTAATAAAGAAGTAATGTAACCAGCCCTGCTCACTACACTGCTGACTGATTCAAAGTTTCTCATCTCCATCACTAGGAGACCCCTTTGCCCTCAGGGAAAAGGAGAAAAATAGAAAGCTGATGAAAATCCGCCCCCCTCACTCTGTCATGAGGCACCTCCATGCTCCTGGTCACAGCCCCTCCCTTCAGTATCAACAGATGAAAAGGAGTCTGTAGAAAGCTCAACCTTCCTTTTCATTGACATTTGGCTCATTAAATTAGTACTAGAACCAACAAACTCTAGAGATAGTTATTTAAAAAGCAAACTTCTGGCAGAATTATTAAGAAAAAAAAATGAAGCCCAGCTGGCGTGGCTCAGTGGTTGAGCGTCGACCTATAAACCAGGAGGTTACGGTTCGATTCCTGGTCAGGGCACTGCTCACAGCCAATCAATGATTCTCTCTCATCACTGATGTTTCTATCTCTCCCTCTCCCTTCCTCTTTGAAATCAATAAAAATATTTTTTAAAAAAGTAGCTGGTTTGTTGGCTCAGTGGATAGAGCATCGGCCTGTGGACTGAAAAGTCCCAGGTTCGATTCTGGTCAAGGGCACATGCCCGGGGTTGTGAGCTCGATCCCCAGTGGGAGACTTGCAGGAGGCAGCCGATCCATGATTCTCTCTCAACATGGATGTTTCTATCTCTCTCTCCCTCTTCCTTCCTCTCTGAAATCAATAAAAACATATTTTAAAAAAGTGAGAGTGGGCACAATAAGCAATATTAAGAGTGAAAAGGAAACAATGACAGCAGGCAATAGGAGGACGTTAGGAGCATCCTTATTGCAAATATATGAAAAAATACATTAAAAGGAATAAATACCTAGAAAAATAAAATGAAACCAGAACTGAGTCAAAAAGAAAGAAAAGTATGAGTAGCCCTATCCTATATAATAAAAGCCTACTATGCAAATTGACCAAACAAAAAAACAGTTGCTATGATGCACACTGACCACCAGGGGGCAGATGCTCAATGCAGGAGCTGCCCACAGCCCACAGGCCCCAGGCCAGCCAAGGTGGGTGGCAGCGGGCCCCCCTCCCCCGCCGATCACCCTGCCGGTCACCCCGCAGAGGGAGGCAACTGGCAGGGGCAGCGGGGGGTGGGGCAGGCGAGCAGGCAGCGCCAGGCTGGCCAGTTGCCCCACAGATCAGCCCTGATCGCCGGCCAGGCCTAGGGACCCTACCCATGCAAGAATTTCGTGCACTGGGCCTCTAGTTAACCAATAAAGAAACTGAATTGGTATTTTTATTCCTTCCAATAAAAGATACATATAATCTAGATTATTTGGCAGGAAGTTTTCCAAACATTCAAGGAACAGTGAATTCTAATCTTACATGTGCTCTTACAGAAAATAGAAGAGAGAGAATACTTCCCCAGCTTTTATTGTGTGGCTTATTACCTTGACCACCAAATCAGAAGAAACTTGCTAGACATGAGCACAAGGACAATGGACCAGGTACAGAAACTCACCAGGGCAGAAAGCTCCAGATGACTAGCAAGGGGCAAAATTGAGAAAACAAGAACCTATCTTCCCCTAGCACCGTGGTCGGCAAACTCATTAGTCAACAGAGCCAAATATCAACAGTACGACGACTGAAATTTCTTTTGAGAGCCAAATTTTTTAAACTTAAACTATATAGGTAGGTACATTGTTATTAACTTAATTAGGGTACTCCTAAGGCTTAGGAAGAGCCACACTCAAGGGGCCAAAGAGCAGCATGTGGCTCGAGAGCCGCAGTTTGCCAACCACGGCCCTAGCATACCACTGGTCATGTGGTTTGGTTTAGACCTCCTGACCTTTTCCTCTCTAAAGATAACATCTAGGCTTCAATTGTAGTTCAACTCCAGGCCCAGAAAAGCAGAAAAACCAGACAAGTAACACAGTGGCTGCCTCGGGATCTATTACATTGACTAATGGCACCAACCAGTCAGTGGAGACCATGACCCTAAAAGAGCACACCTGGAAAGCTGATGAATGTTCTATTAAGACCCTCCCCTGAGAACTCCCCTAAGATTTTCACCTGCACGAAAGAGATAAATATGCTCAGGACAAAGAATCCAGTGTGTGCTCTCCCTCCAAGGAGCATACCTTTGCCATTCCCCCACAGGCACGTATCCCCCAACCTCGAAGGGACCCCATGAGACTTGCAACCAGGGGAACAATGGGCAGCGGCAGCTTGTCCTGGGCTAACCCCCTGAACTTGTCTCCAAGGTCCCCTTTTCTCTGACTTCTCAGTGAGTCAAAGCAGTCCAGCGTAGGCTTCTCTGTTGCTTCTTCTATGCCCTTCCTTGTCTCACAGTCCTAAGTACATTTTTGCTGCCATCATGGGCATAATACCCTTTTGCTCAATGTGTGTAGCCCTTCTCTTTGGATATCCCCATCTCCCATCCCATTTTCCTTAAATAAATTTAATCTTCTTTTTAAAAAAAAGAATCACATAAAATTAAAAATTGCAATTAGTAAAATCTTTTCTGAGAGGTATATGGTGCTAAGAGAACCTGTATGGGAGCTGGGGGTGGGGAGGTGAAGTTTGATTTAGTCAAGGTTGTTTAGGCTGGAATCTGAAGGCTGACTTGGAAGGAATTATTTAGATTCCAGGGATGAGAGCTTGGCATGGCTAGAATGGGGCACTGGAAGACCACTGAGTGTGGAGTAGAGTGTGAGTATGGGGAGAGGTAGGCAAAAATTTAGGTTAGGGTTTGAGGCTTAAGGCAAAGTGAATTGGTGGTGGTGGAGAAGAGCACTATTTAAGGAGTAAAATGTGCAGGACAATGATCTATTGGATGAAACATGAATGCCAGGGAGTTGGCAATTTCGGCCTTTACGTTTGAGGTTGGTGGGGGATGCAGTTATAGATCTCAGGAGCACTGAAGGAGCACCCCTGAGGAAATTAACTAAAAATGGATGATAAATTTGAAAGCTAAAACTATAAGAAAATTTCTAGAATAAAATATAGGAAAACATTATGTGATCTTGAGATAGGCAAAGATTTCTTAGAACACATAAAGCATGAACCATAAAAGAAATGATTCATAAAGTTAACTTCATCAACATTTAAAACTCTTGTTTTTGAAAGACACCGTCAGGAAAATAAAAAGGCAAGGCACAGACAGGAAGAAAAAGTTTTCAAAACAATATATCTGACAAAACAATATATCTGTATATTCTTGTATCCGGAATATATAAAGAACTCTTATAACTGAGTAATAAGAAAACAAACAACCCAATAAAACAATGGGCAAAAGGTTTTAGTAAACACTTCACCAAAGAAGATATATAAATGGCCAATAAGCAACAAAAAGATACTCAACATATTTAGTCATCCAAAGATTTGCAAATTAAAACCACAATGATATACCTAACATGATATAACTAACCTAAACACAACCAAAAATGCTTAACACTTTCCCTAAGAGAAAATACAAAGTCCTTGGGTTATGTTCCCTTTCTGATTTTGACATCCTGTGCTATGAAGTTAACTATTATTAATACACTAGAGGCCGGTGCACGAAATTCATGCACCAGTAGGGTTCCTAGGCCTGGCCAGCAATCAGGGCCAATCTGTGGGGCAACTGGTGGGGCAATCGGGGGGCCCCTGCTGGCACTCGCCTTGGCCAGCCTGGCGCCACCTGCTTGCCAGCCCTGCCCCCCCACCGCCGCTGCCAGTCTCCTCCCTCTGTAGGGCAACCGGCGGGGCCATCAGGGGGCCCCCACTGGCACCCACCTTGGCTGGCCTGGGGCCTGTGGGCTGGGGGCAACTCCTGTGTTGAGCGTCTCCCCCCTAGTGGTCAGTGCACATCATAGCAACTGGTCATTCTGCCGGTCATTCCGACATTCGGTCAATTTGCATATTAGGCTTTTATTATATAGGATTCCTATTGTGTAGTAGCAATTGAATTTCCCCCTTGGTAATTAGTA